ATGTAAGAAATAATGAAGTAGTACACATATTAATATAGAGGGTAATAAAAAATCGTCTTGATATTTTGATTCGCTTTACTTCAACTTAAGTACTTAGAAGGTATAATACATAAATTAGCAAATCATTCTTTCCTGCCAAGCTACGGATCCCTCATTATTAAAGTAGTTCAGAAATAACTATCTAACTTCTTGTGCATCCTTGTTTGCTCTTCTATTGTAACCCCATTGCAAACTAGTCATCTGATTGGGTTGCAAGCCTAAGTCAACAGTGCCATCTTCATGGTTCTCCCTGTATAAGTTGTTATCAGGTGCATACACAGTGGCAGTTCTTCTTCTCAGAAAATTATGCAGAACACAACATGCCATCACTACTTTGTCAATTGCTTTTAAGTTAATAGATATAGCTGTGTGGAATATTCTAAATCGAGCAGAGAGTATACCGAAAGCATTCTCTACTCTACATCTTGCCCTTGAGAGACGATAATTGAAAATTTTCTTATCATGATCCAAGTCTCTCTGGCTAAATGGTTTCAAGAAATCACAGCGGAGTGCAAACGCTTCATCACCTATAAAAACAAATGGCAATGCTTCTTTACTGTTCATTGTTCTTGTTGGAGGTGGTATGGAGAGTTTCCTATCTTTAAGCTTCCGGTAAAACTGGCTGTACTCAATAACTCCTCCATCAGATATGCGGCCGTTGATACCGAAATCACACATAATGAACTCGTAATTTGCGTTGACCACTGCCAAGAGCACTAGGCTGTGTGCTCCTTTATAGTTATAAAAATATGAACCACTTCCGGTGGGCGGTTTTATATTGACATGTTTTCCATCTACCGTCCCCAGGCAGTTCGGAAAGTTGCATCTCTTTTCGAAGTCGTCTGCAATATTTCTCCATTCATTCTCGGTCGTTGGGAACTGAAAAAAATCAAAAATATATATTTTTTTGCAGAAAACTAGATATGATGTACATGAAAGTCAAGAGAGTGAGCTGAGCTCAGTACCAAGTCCACCAATATCCAGACCTTGTAGTAGTCAAAATGTACGTCCAATTTCCAATCCAGAAAACATTGTACCGCTGCCTGCAGCTGGAAATCGGGGAAAACAGAAACGCAAGACAAACTCTGATAACCAAGAAGCAGACAACGTGTTGGCGGCGGTAGGAGAAAGACTACGTTCCAAGAATGACGATCAATTCGCCATTTTTGGGAAAAATGGCGCAGCAAAATTGAAAGGACTCCCAAAAGAAACCAGATTGTACACTGAGAAACTCATAAATGATCTGCTGTTTGAGGCTGAAATCGGTAACGTGTCCAGAAATACTAGGATTGTTTCGTCAGGAGACAATGAACAGAATCAAAACAATTTTTCCAGTAATAGCGTTGTTGATGCTTGCTACCCTAATCAATATAACTACAATTCAACTCAACCTATAAATATATCAGGCACACAAAATCAAGCACAAACTTATTTGCTACCCGCTATGCCACTTAAGCCCCAGTGCCATCAAAGCCATCCTTAACAAATCAACGAGGGTAGCTCCACAGTTTCAACTTATTTTGGATCGTATAATCCTCAAAGTGAAGCTAACATTTGAGGTCCAGTTTATATTTACATATAAGAGTTCTATTAGATTAGCGTTGTATGTATAAAAATAGAATACTTGAGAGTTTGTGTTTGTGTTTATTTTGTTTATTTTACTACTAAGTAATATACTCTGTACCCACCTTCATATAGTCTTTCTTCAGTACTTCATAAATAGCGCTGCATGTCTCTGGAATTATGTTGCACAATGACTGGGGAGAAATCAGGGTAGAAAATTTTAAATCTTCATAATTCCTCCCAGTGGCCAAATACCTCAATGTGGCCGACAGTCTTTCATGTACCGATATAGCGGGTCTCATCGGTGTGTCCTGTTTTTCAATAAGTGGCGTAACCATATCTAGGAGTTTTATATAACTATCTTCATCCATCCGGAGATAGTTTCGCCAATCATCAGGTTCTAATCGTAGCTCTTCAAGTAAATTGATGTGAGAATATTGATCCCGCTTCAAAAGCCAATCTTTAACCCATTTTCTTCGTGGCTGACGTCTCTTTTTCAATTGATGTTTTCTTTTTTTCACAATACAAACGCACGCCACTGCTAGTAAGTTTAACTCATCATCGCTAGACATGGCGACAAACTACAACATCGACGTGGAGAAAACTGACACACAAGTCTCTATGTGTGGAGCTAAAAGTAGATCGACGGGTATCACTGCGCAAACATCGCCGTGCGTTCATGTCTTAATACATGTTCGTGTGTCTGTAGGCCCCTTTAAGGCAAATATGGGTCCGATATTATATCAGGAACTTACTAGGATGCATACCTTTTTCAGTAGAGCGAGACAGCAGATAACTATTTATACTGATCTTTGCTATGTTTTTTCGCTATCAACTGGGGCAATCAGTAGTGCGGAACACGAATGTATCCCTTTTTTTATTGTTGTTGACTATAGTCCGAATTCTAGTAGGTATCATAAAATAATATCAAGAGCAGTTAATAATATCGTTGAACTATTTAGCATGTCATTGGTCGGTAACTTAAATTCAAATCCAATAATTACATTGCAGTGTGTGTCAGACACTTACAAATATCACTTTTTTTCTATTCCAAAAAGTACATGTGGTGCCGTTCTGAAATCTGTATTCAATGAGCAATCTTTTATTCAATAAATGCATTTAAAGCCCAGTACATTTTTGTTTCACCACAGATGGTCAAGGTTGAGGAAACAATATCAGAAGGCTATAAATCCCAAAACAGTCCTTATTTTATTATGGTTCCTTAATATCTTTTAACTACATTGCATTTGTATATGATAAAGCAACTATCTAGAAGTATTTTATAGAAAAAATGAACAAAGTATAACCTTATTTGTACATGGAGCTAAAAACCTCAGATGAAAAGGTTCGTTTTTTAAAATTTAAGAAAAAAATTCAATATCTCAAAAACGGTGACACTTTTATGTAGGTGAGTTTTTATTATTTGGGAGGTCCAAAGCCTTCTCCTTGTTTGTAGTGGTACTTATTGTACACCCTGTATATTGTACATAAAACCACATATTTCATAATTTGTCTCACAGCATTGAAGATCAGGTTAACTTTTTATCACGTATACCTAGCAAATTAAAAGTTTTCCAGATATATGGAAGTATTATATTTTCTGTTGCCTAAAAGCTCCATAAGGCTTCAATCGTATCATATTCTCAGTTTAAGTAAACAAAATAAAAAATACATTTATAGAAACCAGCTTTATTTAGATGTTAACAAAATGAACTACCATTAAAAAAATATCTGTTTCTGAGTGGAAATATTCATAAACGATAATAAGTAAGCTTCTTCATCTCAAGTGTTCGAATAAAAGCATTTTACATATTTTGTCCATCCTGCTGTCAAAACGTAACACGCTTTTATAAGAAAACTTGAGACGAAGGAACTTCATTGTTGTTTAAATATTTCCAATAAAAAAAAAGGATTTTTAAAATTTTAGCTCATTTTACTAACAGCTAAATAAAAGCTTGTTTTTAAAAATGTATTATTTTGTCCTTCTACAGGTTCTAGATTTATTAGTACCTCAAAATAGGTTTTTGTATCAGAAATACATTATTTCGTTCAGGCAAATAATTTTGTTATTACTATTTATTTTTTACTTCTGAGTATTCATGATGTCAAATAACTAGTTTGAGAGTTTACATATAATTTCCATATATTTCATTATTAGGACTATGTATATACAACTTTCTTTTTTACTTGTATTATAAAATTTCGATAGACATAAATCATATGGAATTTAGACGGACGTTATTTGCTTATTGTAATTCTCTCATTAGCTCTTTCATTTGAAACCCATATCATAGAGGTCACATGCCATCTACGGGCAGTCGCCATATTGGATTTGGAACGACGTTAATTTGTTTATTCTGTTTCTCTCATCCATCCCTTCCATTTGATACCCATATCAGAGGAGTGGCTGTAAGAAAACGTAAATCGCCATGTTGCGACAGTCGCCATATTGGACTTAGAATGGCATAACAGTGCTTATTGTATTTTTCTCATCAAGCCCTTCCATTAGATACCCAAATGGTGGGGGTGACTATGAAATATGTAAATCGCCATTTTGCAGTGGTTACCACATCGGATTTAGAATCATGTCACTTTGCTTGTTGCGTTTCTCTCATCAAAATCTTTCATTTGATACCCATATCAATAGGGGTTCCTTTGGGAATAAAAAATCGCCATTTTGTAGCATCCGACATATTGGATTCAAGATGGTGGCAGCTGATTCAGTTTGTATTGTCACGCAATCCAAACGTTTGTACAAAAGTTCAGCTCAATTGGTTAAGGCTCCAAGATTCAGTTCCCGCATATACTAACATGCATACTCACAAAAAGGTCAATAAAAACTAAAAAAAAAACAGATCAAGTTAAATAAAACGTTGTAAAAAGGTGGTTTACATTTAAAAATTGAACGTTTTTGGGTTTTTTAAATCTAATTTTCATTCTTTTTTTCTCACCGCCTGGTACTATAAAAACCGGTACGCATGGTCGGCATGTTGGTATTATTTTATGGTTCCTTATAAAAATGCATAGGCGCTCGCAGAAAATTTTTTCTCGGGGGTGCCAACCATAGAGGCAACTTTTTGTGAAAGCGTACCTGCCTTCATAACGTTTTAAAGAGCAGACCTGTATATCTGCGGGGGGGTAGCAAATTTTCTCATGGTAAGGGGGCAAATCCAAGAATCATCAAGATTGTACAAAAATCATGCTAAATATACACATTTTAAGATCGAACCTGATTCTTAGGTGGTCACAGTCCATCGACTTTTTTCGATCATGATTTCAATTTACCTATTGTAGCATCTTCAAGGAACAATTTTATCAAACATATTCCGACAATTTTACTTAAAATGAGATGAAATTTGTTTCTTGATAAACTGTTTAAATTCGTCTCAATTTTTCAGGTATATTTGATTGTGTGGAGAAGACCTGGAGCTTGTATTCGGACAATCCCAAGAAAAATGACCCTTTAGTGGTATTGCCGCTTGTACTGCAAAAATAATTCTAGTTAGGCTGCCATAAGGCTCGGCTTGTGTCTTTAATGGAAATACTTATGATACTTAACAATATATTTATAATCGAAAACAGAACACAGCTTGTTTGTCTTTTAGGAAATGAATAAAAATTGCTGTAACTTGGTTTTTCTTTCCATATCGATCCTTCTACAACATAAATAAAAACGATGCTTAATGTTGGAAAGGAAAAACTCCTAAAAAGTTAAAACACATTCTTGTGTTGATAAATATCTTACGTGAACGACTGAGTTAAAATTAAAAAAAAACGATACATTTTCAAAAAAAATGTGATAACAAACGCTGCACTGATATACTGATCACATTCGCATAGCTACTTTTTTTAAAACTGTATACATATAAGCTGCATAAGTGTACTCAAAAAACCAATAAAAACCTAATCCCATTTGAGGTATGTACATCCATTTAGGATGTAGTGACGACAGTTTTCCAAAACGCTTAAAATTATATAAACGTCAAAGTTTTACGATTTAATATGTTTGGACCTCAAAATTAAGGATAGTTCAGACCTATATGCGTCACACCCTATTTAACGAGGCGGTATAATGACAGCTGCTTATTATCTAGTAATATCTCAAAATGCCCCATATCGGCTCAGGACATATAATTCTGACGGATCCGTTAATGTAGTCAGAGCCGTATTTTGTTTTGGTTTTTTGTACGCTACAGATTCATTTTGTCACTTCGCTTAACTCATTTTTTTATAAACAAAGATCCGGCGATATCTATGCAAGTATAAAAAGAGAAATTAATTATTATTAATTAAAACTTCAAATTATTTATGTAGAGTTATAATAATTATATTTCATAATAAGTTTAAGTACTTAGGTATTAACATACGATGCATCATTTTTTCTTCTAAGGGCGGCGAGCAAAATATTCTTGATACTGAAGCTACACAGCTCTGCTACATTCGTATACGTAACCAATTTCATATATTTCCTGCAACAAACTTAGTTTTGGATGCCCTTCTTTAATGCTCGCCACCTAAGTGTTCAATAAACAACCATCTAGGCCTAATAGTAATAAAATTCAATGGGCAAAACAACGAGACTACGCCATATATTGGGTTATCATAATTTACATATTATATATTTATAACGGGGTGATTTTTGGGTCCATTTTAATGAAAAAACGTCATAATGATAAGGGTGGCAAAGCTTTCGATACAGAAACACAGTGACACGCGACTAACTTTTCTTAATATAAAAAAAATTATATCGGTATTCATGTATTGAACAGATTTGATCTTTTAAATTTTTTTAGTCTGGTGCACAGTTTTTACCTATAAATATAAAAGCTATTTGCCTGCATTACATATCATATTGTAACTCTTTTGTAACTGGGACCTTGAGTGGCGATGGGACGCGTTTGCAGTGTCGACGCTTAGACAACCAGAATTATGAAACCATGTATGGAGCGTGGTCGCATTCTGGAGCATACGACGCGTCTGGATATAAATCTACTGCCATCTAGACGCCTTCCACAAAGATTGAGAAGACGCGGAGCGTGAATCTGGAAATCATCGATTGAAGATAAGTATCGAATAGTTTGCCGAAGCAGTCACCAGTCAGTCAGACCGACAACGGGCGATGAGTCAGTCACAGTCGGACAGCGCACGTGGAATTAGGATGGAATAATAGTTCAGTTGACATAGTTACAAATTAGTTGCAAGTGTTGTGATAAATTAGTGTAAGAGTAATGGATTTGACTTTGAACAGCAAGAGCGATGTTTTTGTTACAATATTAACGATGCTGTTATGATCATGCAGAAAAACGGGTTATATTTTTTAAACAACAATCATGCATCGAATTGAAAAAATTATGTAATTGACAGAAACGACTACAGACTTCAGAACAATTTTTATTTTAAGTGGCATGTTATAAGCGTCTGCCAAAATAGGCGGGTAAAATTCTGTACGTATGCCACTGGGGAAAATTAAATACAATGTAGTACCACAGCTTAGATAACAATCAGTTATGAAATTCTCCGATCACTATCAAAAACGAACACCATTTTGGCGGAGAATGTCGAATGCAAATTAACCCAGTACAAGATGAAAGAGGTTCTAGTGCTCAGCAGCAGCCGGTGTTGCCACGAACCCTGCCAGCGGCCGCAGATATTATTTGCAATTGTAAAATGATAATATTTTGATATGATCTAGTGTGTGTAGTATGTGTGAGCCAATAATGAAAAGGAATATGTTTGTCCAAGAAGAAGCCCCGAAGGATTGATGACTATTTATTTATAAAACAGTTTTAAAATAAATTCGTATTGTTGAAAGTATTTACAATAGACAGAAAAATATTTACTTTTAACATACATTATTTGCTGCTGCGATATTCTCAATCCATTCCATTTCCAATGTAAATACTATTAAAACACCGCAATCAAACCTGACACTTCAGACAACTCCTCAGCTAGGATGCCTCTCCAAATTTAATGTTAAAAGTTAGTTATAAAAATTGTAGACAACTATACGCTCCTTACTTGGAAAATATGCCGCTCCCCACAAAGTGATTCATAGTAATTACATGACAACACATAGTTGTCACCCCGTTTGCAGTACCCTTGATCATTTTCAGAGTTCTGAATTACTTTCGAATACATTTATCGCCAGAAAATTCGACAAGTACACGGCACTCCAGCACAGTAAGCCTCGCACATTCATGCAACCAGTGAAGTTCAATAATTTTCAAACACTGAAATTGGGGATTCAATGAGAAAAAATTACCCTTGGTTGGGGAAAATGTGGAGAAATACCTCCGAAATACCAAAAATTCCCACAAAAGTGTTAAATCGCAGAGCTCAGGGCACAAAAGTCCCTTTAGCATAATACCCAGTACAATTTCAAAAGCAGAACTTGTGGTTACTTTTAGAAAAATCTACCCTTGGTTGGGAAAAACGACGAGAAATACCTTGGAAACTTCAAAATTCCCATAAAAGTGGAAAAAGGCAGAGTTTTAGAGCAGCACCCCCCTCAAATATCTTTAGCATAAGATTCTGTACAATTTCGAAAGCAGAATTTGGGGGTGCCCCAAGAAAAAACTGCACTTGGTTGGGAAAAATGACGAGAAATACCTTCAAAACTTTAAAAATTCCCACAAAAGCGTTTTCAGAAGCAGAGCTCGAGGATAGCATTAGAAAAAAAATACCTTTGATTGGGAAATATGACGAGAAATACGTTCAAAAATTCCCAAAAAAGTGAAAAACGACAGAGATCTAGCCCAGCACGCCCCTCAAATATCTTTAGCATAATATTTATATTCTATACAATTTCAAAAGCAGAACTCGGGGGTGCCATTACAAAAACTACCCTTCGTTGGAAAATATGACGAGAAAAATCACAGAATTTTTTGGGAAAATGTCGAGAAATACCTTCGAATGTCTAAAAATTCTCACAAAAGTAAAAAAAGGTAGAGTTCTAGCGTAGCAGCCTCCTTAGATACCTCCACATAATACAACGTTGGATTTCAAAAGCAGAACTCGGGGGTGCGATTAGAAAAATCTGCCTTTGGATGAGAAAAACGACGAGAAATATCTTGGAAACTACACAAATTCACATAAAAATGAACAAATGCGAAGTTTTAACCCAGCGCCCCCTTAAGATATCTTTAGCATAATACTCAGTACGATTTCAAAAGCAGAGAGGTCGGGGGTGCCATTATAAAAAACTACCCTTGGTTGGGAAACATTTTTTCACTTTTTATGGGAATTTTTGAAGTTTCCAAGGTATTTTTCGTCGTTTTTTCCCAACAATGGTAGTTCTTTCCAATGAAACCCCGAGTTTTGCTTTTGAAATTGAACAGAATATTATGTTAAAGGTATTTGAGGAGTGTGCTGCTCTAGAAATTTGCCTTTTTTTCACTTTTATGGGAATTTTTCTCAAGCAATGGTAGCTTTTTCTAAAGGCACCCCTGAGATCTGCTTTCGAAATTGGTACTGCTCATTATGCTGAAGGTATCTAACGGGGGTGCTGTGCTAGAGCTCTGCCACTTAACAATTTTGTGGGAATTGTTGGTATTTCGGATGAATTTTTCCACATTTTCCTTAACCAAGAGTAGTTTTTTCTCATAGAATCCGCAATTTCAGCGTTTGAAAATTATTTAACTTCATTGATTGCATGAATGTGTGAGGATTACTGTGCTGGACTGCCGTGTACTTATCGAATTTTCTAGCGATAAATGAGACATGCTAGTGAATTGTCTCGTGGATGGTTTTGATGCTGATTTTTTTTTAATTTTGAAGGTTTTGCAGAACTCTTGCTAAAAAAGATTGTGAACCATATGACTATTCACGACCTTGAGAATTCATAGCTCAGAACTCTTGTTTTACGTAAAAGGGGTGCAGCGTGAAAACTTTTTTTAAAATCCCGTAGAAAAATTGCAGAACCATTACGTAACTATACGTAAACATTCATACTAAAACAACAAAAAATAAATTGCTGTAGTTAAACGAATAACTGAAATGAAAAATAATAAAATAACAAAAATAGATGTTTTTCAACAACAACCGGTGAAAATAACCTTGCACTAGATTCGCAATTACTATCAATTTTGAGTTTGTCCAAAAAGTACCCAGTCAATAACCATTATTTGAAGGATTTCATTCAACTGAACTGTCCATTATTTCGATGTCAGAGTCACTTAGAATCTCAGGGTTTAAATCAAGAGCTGTATCATTTACTTTGGTCGTATTTATCCAAAAAGTCACTGGAATCGACCAAAGTAACACAAAAATTAATTTCATAATTACCTTTAGAAAAAGGGAGGGTGATGAAATTATTAATAACTACTGTTTTTAAGGTAGCAACAAACTGAAGACAGGTGCGATTTGTATTGAAAATACCACGCTGTTTTACTTCACCAAGTAAATTTTCCAGGGAATTTTGATTTACATTTCTCTAACAAAAATATTTCAAGCCCTTCTGCACCGTGAACTTTGCTTATTACCTCGTTCGCGATATCCCGCTGGCTGCAAATGTCATGCCTCCAAAATACGCTGTTGGTTTCATTTCTTTTTTAATTTGTTACCTGCGTACGCTTCTCAACGATTTAACCGCTTTTTAGCAGAACCTCGTTGTTCAGTACTACCTGTCTGCACA